GGCGCCAATACCGACATCAGCTTCCAATTTACTCATGTCAAATCGCGATAACACATCATTGTCAAATACCAGACATTCAGGTAAGTTTCATCGAATCTAACCATGAGGGTGCCTTTACTGTGCTTGAGTTTATCTTTTACGAACACATGTAATTCAAAATGTACATATATAGGGTTGTAGAGAATTCCACGCGCTATCCAAATATATAGTTCCTTTCTAAAAAATGTTGAGTTATGCCAATAAGATGTTGGAAATACTGTGTGCAACTATTTTGGTCAGGCGGATATATCAAACGAACCTGGACTGAGAACTTTGGGTCGTCAAATCAGCTATTTCTGACCCTTGTTTAGCATATATCTCTGTGAAACGTCATGAGATAGAGTCGAAACTTTTACTACAGCTTCTCATTATAGCCCCAATATATTCTGAAAATTTCATGCGATTCGTACTAGCCGGAGCTGAGATCGATTTTTGAGGGGAAGGAAAGCCTTAAATGTTCAGTTTTCAGTAATAGCAATACAACATTTATCCTTCAATCTAAATAAAAGCTAAAATAAACCGAGATTTTGCGATTTATGGACTCAATCATTCAAGAAAATGGATTATGAATGCAATCTGGAACATAACCTACAGATTTAGCAAAGTCATTTTTATGCATTTACGAAATGATGATAAGTTAACATATCAATTACTCTACACAACTTCATTTTTAATTATTCTCTTAAGTCCAACTAGTGATGTAAACAGAAAAAGGCAGTGGAAGTAGGAAAGAGACGAAGAGGGAAGACAGTCTTTATTGCTTTTGAAACTCTATGTATAGAAACATACTGGCTCTAAAATTTCACGAAACAGAAGAAGATCAAAACCTTTTATGTACACCCTGTTAAACTTAATTTAAGATGGATGAAAGTGTGGATAGAGAATGAGTGTAAGCAGTTAGGGTTTTCTATCAGGAAGCGAAAATCAACCGAACCGTTTTCGTTCGATTCGGTTGGAATCATCGAATTCGAACCGGTAGAGTCGGATTCGATTCGCTCTCTGATCACTAGCAGCTTATATAGCCTTCAGTGAATCTCTATGCTCTGTATATGCTACTTTCTCAGTGGTTAGATTCGATGAAACTTACCTGAATGTCTGGTATTTGACAATGATGTGTTATCGCGATTTGACATGAGTAAATTGGAAGCTGATGTCGGTATTGGCGCCGATGTTGATCGTAACTCTGGAACTTCTATAGAAGAATCGATCATAGCTGCAATTGCTTTCAAAAGCGCTTCATATTTGACCGGTGGTATCTTGTGTTTCACTGACTCAATGCCGTTTAACCAACCCATTCTGGCAAAATTATCGGCCGATAACTTATAAAGAACTTTGGTATCCGGTATTTTATGTCGTTTAAATAATTCAGATATTTGCTCGTAATAATACATACGTAATGCCAGAAACAATGGCGAGTCACAATCATCTAATTGTTCTCTTAAATCATCTTCAGAAATGTATTGAGTAAAATCTGTGCATCCCCGTAATCCTTTGTTTGTTACAGAATTCCACAGATTCTTTGTCAAACATTCATCATCAATACCATGAAATAATATTTGCAAAACGACGGCCAAAATTGAAGATGATTTGGTGTATGTGCTACCATAATCAGCTGTATGTTGTAGAACAGATTCAAAATGCTCACTATTTCCATCCTTCATGTTGGCGATAAATTTCCAAATCTTTGGTTCATTCAAACAAGCTGTTTTCCATCGTTGATAGACATGCTGTTTTATTAACTCTGACAAACGAGTTCCTTGAATTAATGTTGGTACAATAGCCGATTGATTATCAATAGATTTGCTGATTTCTGCTGAATAAATTTCTGGAATGAGAATATGTTCATATTTGACTAATGCTTGACGACCATTTTTCAGTACATCATTAGTTATTTGCTCCTTTTCTTCAGTATCTTGTAATTCTAAAATTTGAATAATTTCTTCGATTGTATTGTCAGTGATCAGTATATTTGATGCTGTAAAGTTTGTAGTAGAATTCATGATTGATAAAATTATGGAAACATCGTCGATAACGTTATTTAATTTATGAGAAGTCGTTGGTATTGAAATAAAAATATAAAAAATGTTAGCTTTAAAGATGCATTGATAGGCCAAGAAGAGCAACATTTTGCCTCGTATAATGCATAGAGACAATCTGATATACTCTAAGTGAGATCAACTAGATTTTCACAAGAAAAACTATTACGTGAAATAATTTTTTTCTGCCTATGATAAACTGTCTTCATTCAGGTGTAAGAATTTGACTCCAGCAGTGTCACATATCCAAGATTTTGGAGATGCCACCACATGTCCCGCGGGAGATGCGGCATATCGCGCGAAAGAAGTAGGTGTGGGTGTGGGGGATGCGCATCTCTAAAGGAGATCTTACATCTCCAGTGGTCAATGACCGCATCTTCCGAGTGTGGGTGCCGCGTCTCCAGCGGGAGATGCAGTGGCGTCTCCAAAATCTTGGATACGTGACACTACTCAGAATTTGTTACTTTACTGTTGTACTTGTTTCCTTGTTTACTTTCGCTTTAGGCCGTACCTTTATAGTATTATCTGAACACATGTTTATCTCTTTTCTAAATGTATGGATGTCTTCTGCTTTTGAAGCTCAGCCCATTTGTTCTGCTTTTTTATTTTGAAAGTAAATATCGCAAACAGAAAAAAAATCCTACGATGTCATAAATAAATAATTTTATTTCATTCTTTAAAAAAATATGTACTTGGATCTTTTTACTAGTCTGTTCATCATTGTTTATGACTGTTACATGACAACAAACGCCTAATGTAACGACTCCATTTTTATTTCATTTTCTTATTAATCTAGAAGGCTTTTCACAATGAACGCCACTATATCCATATCCAGTTTTCTCTCTAATTTGTATGTGCCTACATTGTATGCAGCTATATTTTGTAGACGGCACATCATTTATTATGTGTGTGGCATTAGAAAGGAAAACTTTAGGTTTTCTTTAGAGAGCAGAGCTATCAACAAGCCAAGCCAAAGATGGAGTGGAAGCATGCAGCTTAAGGCTCCCTTGGCTTGCAGGCAAAAACCCAGACCAATTGATATTTTTGATTTTTCGTATCCCTTAAACGATATAATTCTGTATCAATTTATGGCATCATTTTCAGTTACATTTTCGATGGTGAAGGTGAGTTAAACCAGAGCCGAATTCATTCCAAAAGTAAGAATCCGAGCCAAAATCGAACCAGTCTTGAATCACTAAAATTTGGTTTGATTCGCTCTCTGTTATTTATAAACATGACTATGATACTGTAACAAGTTCTTATAGAAAATAAAAAATCAAAACGAAGAAGCAATTATGACACGGATTCCTTGCACAATCAAATTGATACTATATAGTACTTAGGCTAGGAGTGGCCATTCAACTTTATTTAAAACTAGCAAGAACTGACGCGTACTGCACGGTCGCTTTTTCTTCTTTAACGTATGCCGTCAAGGCATTGACTTTTCACCCAATCAAAGCATACGAACACTCGACCTTATGTATATAGATAGCCCTATGGCCTCATACTTTTATATTGCACATATTTGTATAGTCCATGTAGCCTTCGGCCTTATAGCTTTATCTCCCTTGTTCCTCTTGTAGCCTTATCCCTTATTGCCTTACTCTCTTCAAGACCTATAGATGGCCCCATAATATAGCCCTTGAGGTCCTATGACTACTCCTATAATATAGCACTGAAAGGCCTATGAGTACCTTCATAGTACAGCCCTTGAGGACTTATGAGTACGCCCATATCAGAGATATAACCGGTAAGGGTTTTTCTTTACTGGTACCGGTAGAAATGGTCAGACCGGACCGGACCAGCCGGTAGACCGGCGTGAATCATTCTTCGTATTTCTGACCCTATAACAGTGGAATCAACCCCTCGGTGAGTCATATCTGTCTTTTAATCATTCCAATAATGGCATAACAGTTATTTTTAGTGCTTTTTTTGATGTTTCCTTCCATAAGTCTTCTTTCTCTTAACGCCCATTAGTGAAGAAAAAACTTCATAGCATTACAAATTCTATAGTGGCTTTCAAGTCTATGATTATTCGTTAGATACGAATATTATTAATGAACCCTTTGAGTACCATTGCTCAATCAATGGACGAAATTTCCTCTAGATCTTACATTTCATATTCGCAGTCTGTACTATGAATATTTTTATCAAAACTTTTTCAAAATCTTCAAATTATTTTTGATCCATTCCCCTACTCCTCCTCAGAGGAGATGTTGTGTATGTATTTGAGTCATCCTTGTGGAAGTATCGGCGTTGTTTAAGAATTCGACTGAACGCTGTCACAAAACTTATTAGGATCTGCCTCTTATATAGATGTCTTCACTGTAGTCTGTTCTATGTTACAGAGAATACTTCACCTGTATCTTTTTGCGTTCGCAATTTATAAAAAACTGAAAACTTGAAAAAAGGGTCCTTTATCCAGTATGATGGCGTTTAAAGGGTTAATTGTACATTCAAGCTACTTCACTTGTTATATTGGCTTTACTGTCTCATGTTTATGCGAGACATATTCTGTAGACAATGAATAAAACGCAAGTAAATCTTGGATACACTACGATATTGAATAATAGACAAAAGAACTTGATATAAAAGCG